GAACGGCGGTCAGACTCCATGATTTCCATTATTTTATTGACATTTTCGACAATTGGACTGCCTTCCAGTGGAGCATTTTTTATTCATGAAAAATTGTGCATCATTGACTGTAATAGTTCAGGACCATAAACACTACTCATATTTTCAACTTTCCTTTTTACTGCTCCTATTATACTAAGCGCTGAAGCAAATGCCGGCCGTGCTTTGCTCCAATTTACGGTCTGAGTCTTAATATGTGTCCAATAAGTGGAGGGAGGGAGTTTATTCTAAGCCGCCTCCGAACTGACGATGGATGTTTGTGAGAAACTTTTATTTCTTGCAAAAAAAAAAAATAAATAAAAACACTTGGAGGGCTTTTATATATACATATAGATATACAATATAATAGGCGCTTTGTAACCGATGAGACCTAACTCTCGGAGGGCCAGGGTTACATTTAGACCAACATCAAAATTATAGAAAAAAAGGATATTTCAAGCTCTCCAAGTGTATTGCCAACATCAAATAAAAGTTACTCAGAAATATCTATCGGTGGACTAATACGCATTCTGCGTTCGTGTGATGTCAATAGTTTGTGGACTGGCATTGGGTATAACAAAGGTGTGACAACTTTCTTGTGTTGCGAAGATCTTAGCGGTTCTATATGTCGTTTAGGAATCTTCTTTTATTCTGATACTTCTTTCAGCTCATTTCGAAATTTCATTGTACAGAGTCTAAAGCTTTTTATTTAATGTTTTAGTTTGATCACCTGACAGATGCTACTCACCAACTATTTCGCTATATCGTTCCCGAAAAAGCCCTTGTGAACAGGAAATGTGTTCTTGCAGCCATTATATATACTTAATTCTGTTTATAAGGCTGTTTTCTGACGTAATACTGATGTGTTCCGCCTGGGAATCGACGTTTATATATGTTAATGCTCTCCATTATGCCTCGTATAAGCTTTCTCTACCTAGGAAGTGTGAAGCTTTGACTGAGAATACGCGCGTGTGCGATGACCACGCCACTGAAGAAGAAGAAGAGAAGATGAAACGTTTATTATACATTTTTTGTGAATATTTTGAATATGTTATTTTGACTTTAAAGTATTTAGCCTACTTGGCATAAGTAAAGCGTATTATAGACAATATAATTGCTTAAGGGCAAATAACTGAAATTGTAAATTAATTTGTTATAAAAAGTAGCTTAAAATTCCTAAAGGTGCTTATTTAATTAAAACTACCGTTATTATATTTATCACACTTATGCACATTCCCCAGACAATTGACGATTAAGTAGTTCCAAAAAGACATAATTCAAATTAATGACACATACAAAAAGTAGGTCAAGATAAGCAAAGAAATCGTGTTCATTGAAAAGGAAAAGTGTATGTATGTACGTGTGTATGTTGGAGTGTAAATTAACTTAGGCGTGGGGAAAGCTGTCAATGGCTTCAACGAAATAGAAAATTCATTGAGCAGTTAATTTACAAAATTAACTCAAATATTTCCACTGAGCCTCATGGTCAAGAAATCAACCTTACTTAGTCCATTGAACGTTTGACATGCGCGATCCTCACACAACGATTTTTTTTTTAAAGAGAAAATAAAAATTAGAAGAAAAACAAATAAGTCCTCGGAGAGATATATAAAGCTAACCTTGAAGTTAATGTAATAAAATTGTTTTATTGTTTCATATATATATATATAAATACAAATGTCTGTAATACGCTTACTCGTGTGCACTTTCCAAATACAATCAACCGTTTTATATTTTACCTTAATTATTATTTGTTTCAATGACTTAGCAGGCGTGTGTATGAAATACATTTTGTTTCCATCTTTTGCTTGACAACAATGTGATTACTAAGCGGAAATACTAAATGGGCTTAAACCACTTAAAAAAAAAAACAATTATATTAATTTTTACAATTGGCCATTAAATTTGTACTCTATCTCTCTAACACTTCATGTATTTCAAATAGTTTGCGATAAAAACAATATTGAGCACGTTTCGCAATGCCAACACGCAATGTCCAATCACCACTCACGCAGAAGCTCTACACACATATATAAAAATGTAAAAAGCAAAACCATCTCATTGCTCTCTTTATAAGGACAATGCAAAATAGAACTATCGACTTTTTATTCTCATCAATTTCTGTTCTCTTTTTGTTATACAAATTTTTAAAACTTTTTTCGAATTCACTATCGATTGATTACCTTTTCACTATCGTCCTATCTTCCTTTTTTTCCTCTAATTTTTTGAGCCACTTTTTTGTTGGTTCTTTCTTATTAATTTCAATGTTCTTTACTGCTTGTACTCATTCTCAACAAACACTCATTCAACCTCATTTAGTTGTGGGTCAACTGTAAGCTAATGGTCAGCAGTACATTTACCGTTGAAAAAATACATACTTTTCTAATTAATATATATGACGAAGTGTGTATTGTTAAATGTATGTCAATGGGATATGTCAATGCACCTGCTTTTAAGTGTGGAAGAGCAAGGAGTTCACACACCGTGCAATCATTATTAAAAATTTAAAATTTGCTTTATTCTACTTTTCGCTTGCTCGCCATGTGGTGAGTGGAAGGAGTTATTTGAAAAATCAGGTGCATATGCATTGTGCACATTTTGCCATATGATTTTCGGACAAAGCAGGAAAAGTAAAATACAGTTTCAATACAGTTTCGTTTTTTCAAAATCTTTTTCAGTGTATTGGCTCCACGGACAGCCTTTACTATCATCTTCTCATTCTTTTCTTTTTTTTTGGGTTCAAGTGGGATTATACTTAAATCAAAATTATTTGGACCCCTCGTAACACCTGTTCAGAGTCTTCGTAAAGGGACACTTCTATGATCATACTGATGTACAAGCAGATGATTAAATGGTAAAGCCTTAGCTGACGACAAAAACTTCGTTTTCGGTTATTCATTAATCTCTGTAGATTACTTGCTTGATTGCGGAAGGTATATAAATCATTCACAAAATGACATGTGGCATGCATTAAGGGGTATATTGACTCCGTTTTTGTCGGTAACTTTGATAAGCTATTTACTTCAACTGCTTACATCAGACAACTTTATAGGGCAAGGACTCTCTATAGGCTTGGAAAATTTGGGTTCTGACTCTTTACTACATGAAATGACGAAAGTTCATCAATTTAACTCACCATCTTTAAGAGGAAACATTTTTATTCCCTTCAACGCTGTTAGGTGTTTCGGTGTAAGCTTTCATAAAAATAAACAGAATTCGAGCTAAACACAAGATGCGAACAAAAAAACGGAAACCTTCTGTCAGGTAAGTAACCCTTTTGCCTCGTCCAGCGGGGAAGTATTTGCGGAAAGTGAGCCCATCGAAAACAGAAAGTTATCCCTATCTATATTGATAGTATTAAGGTGAAGCAGGTACCGTTCAAGCAGTGTTTTTCTGTGACAACCGCAATAAAAAAGATAGTTCCAAGCTCATTGATTACAACTCTGTCTTCTAAGTATACATTAGACAAGCTGTCAAATGGGTAAACGCCATAACTGAAAGATCTGTCAGGTTTTTGTTTCAGTACAAAGTCCGGATGCGTAAGAACATGCAAAGAGTCAATAAAACACAGTGAATATCACTTGGGGTCTCGGTGTGCGACGCAACAACAATCGTACCGCTTTAGAACTTTCAGTCCCTTCAACTGTTGAAACAAGCCGAGAGATGGCAAGGACCATAAATACTATTCTCATTTTAAGCTGCTGCACTTATGTAATTGCCTTTATCGAAGAAAAATTTATTGTACTATAACACTGCTGAGTTGAGTGATCAACACTTCTCCCATTATCCTTTTGAGTAAAATAAAATCTTTATTTCGTCATCTAGCGTAGTCCCATCGCACTTATATAACAGGAGATATACATCGCTAAAGCCAACTATTACAAAAATAAAAATATTAATGCATAACTTCTTACTTTTTTTGTAATTTCCATAATTTTCAATTTCAGCAGTTTAAAAAATCCTCTTTAAAAATGTAGTATAATATTTTCGAGATAAATAAATATAAATTAAGAAAAATCAGAAAATTCCTGGAAATGGAGTCAAATCACTCCCATAATGCAGTTAATACTGAGCCTGCAGCGTCTACAAATACCAATAACGAGCTTATACTATGTAAGTGGCTTTAATTAAAAAAAAAATCGTAGTGTTGTTGTTTAGTTGTATTTAGCTCAATATAAAATTAACATTATATACATAAGTCTTAAGTATTTTTGTTCATATGCTATTTATTTTCTCTAATTCTTTAACAGCAACAAAACTCAATAACAGTGATATTGCAACTACAGTATTAAAAGTGAACTCACCCGTCGGTACCACAGTGCGTATACGTGTTCGACACCCAGTGGATTCGCTCACTGAAAATAATAGTTAAACGAAAAAAAAAAATGAAATAGACAAATTAAATTAAAAATTAATGAAAAATATAATAATATAGTAATAAATAATGAAAAATACAGCGGACACGTAAAATTTAAAAAATACAAATATAAAATTTTTAAAAAGTTATGAAATATATTTTTTTTTTAAAATTAAAAATTATAAAAATTGCAGCGATTTGGGAATTAATAAATGGTTTAAAAATGTTAAAACTTCAAAAATTACGGTAGTTTTTTTTTAACTAAAATAAGAAATTGTGACTAAGTGAAAAATATGTAAATAAAACAAAACTAATTAAATTATTTAAAATACGAATTTATTATTTATAACAGTAGTAACCCAAGGATAATACAACAACCGATAACATAATAAAAAACTCAGCTCATATTTATTTATGAACCAACAGCTGCATGTTTACAAGTCCAATAAAACTGTAACGCTGACTAAGTGCACCAGCAACCTGCGGTGAACAACGAAAGCGCCACAATAAACTATAGGCAGCACGTCATTAGACAATATAATTTTTGTTTTTTCTTTTATTGTTTTTTTTATTTATTTTGGTTTTATTTTATTTTTTTTATTGTCACCCTCCGCTTCAGTTCCAACAATTTTCTGTTAATTTGCGGTCAACGCTGGCTTCGTACACGCTCGTGTCCATTGGCGTTTGCGCCTTTTGTCCCCATATTCCATATCACACCATAATTTCCGCTGGCGAGTTGATAAATTTCAACGAATGAAGATAGTCTCATATGTGCAGCAAACGCCATCGAATCGTCAACGCTTGTGGACACATTTCCGTTGCTTGTTTCCGCCGTCGGTGAATGAATGTGTGGCAGAATTAAAATTGAAAGGAAAGGAAATTAGCGATTTGCTATGTGTAGCTGTGTTGTTGTAGACAATAACAAAATAGTGGTGAGAATTTAATGTGCTTACGGGCTGTTGTTAGTTAGTGGTGAGATGAGATGGAATGAGGTGAGGTGAGCTGTGGCGGTGAATGCGAAAGAGCAATCAAGAAAATTATAATGCAAATACGTGAACAACACAAAAAATAACAAAAAACAGAAATTTATATACAAAACAGAATATGTACAACTGCATTTGTATGTATGCCTGCGTGTAATTGTAGATGGGCGTAAAGCAGCAATTTAGTAAATATGCCACGTTATCTATGCATGCATATGAACTCATTTAAAGCCACATAAATGCATATGTATGCACGTGTTTTTCCGAAATCCGATTAAATTTCTTCGAAATATGAAAACAAAATAATTTTTTTTTACAAAAAAAAAAACAAAAAAGTTAATGTTAAAGTGCATTGAAAAATATTAAATGTTTGGAAAAACCACACAAAAATCCAGGCAGACTGCAAATGACCAACTCAACAATTATGTGTGGCAAGTGTGTGCGTGCGCAAAAATATTACAACAAATAAAAAGCAAATGAAAAGTCTTACTAATAATTTCGTTGGTATGCCACTTTGTCTAGCGTCATTTGTATGAACAATACTGTAAGCTCAAATAAGGCAAAAAAAAAAAAAATAAATAAATAAATAATAGCACAAAAAAGTTTTATTATCTCACTGTTGCATTGGCAAATCGTTCATTTCTCGCTACTCGTCCAGTTCTGTCGCTGCATTGTGTTTTATATATATATATATATATATATATGTATATAAAATAACAAAAACGGTCGGTCGTGTGTATTTGTGCACCTACTTCGTGTGTTTCTGTGTGTTGGTCATAACGCTACACTAGTTATTCCTGTCGATTGTTGTTGTTTATGTGCGATTTCAAGTGGGTGTTGCTGTACTTTACATATTAATGCAGATGACTTATGGTCGGAAAGTTACCAATGTTTTTTCAACGCTTCGCTGTGTATGTACTGTGCATTGAAAGTGCAGTTATAGTGGCGCACTCGCCTTTGCCGTCGCATTCGGTTTTATTACTGCGAGCAGCAGCATCGTTACCAAAGCAGCGCATCTTCAGCAGTTAGTACTTGAGATACGTGAAAAATAAGTAGTTCACAGCAACAAACACACTCACACACACACATACATATATCGAAATGCCACCAAAGCGGCGACGTCGATTTCAAGGATTATATTATCATTCGTCACCGCCGAAGGGTGAGTTAAAAGATTTATTGAAGTGAAAATTTTATTTGCTTAGTTTTTATGATTTTTTGGTGTTAAATATTTTCTTTCAATTAAATAAATAAGTTTAAATTAGTTTTAAATAATAAAAGCATTTGATGGCATCAAAGTGAGATCAGCAGGGGCTTAAATGTGAAGAGTGAGAGTCTTTTTGAGACTAAATTGTTTTATATAATTTGTCCATTGGTATTAAGTTAAATGAAAAAAATAACATAAAAAAATGGTAAAATTAAATACTTTTAAACAACCCCTCAAGATTCTTTAAAGAATAGTGATGATTTATGTATACTCGTAGAATCAGCTAAAGTTTTTCGAGTGAAAATTTATCACCGCTTGGTGCTGACGCTTCCGAGGTTCGTAGGAGCGAAATTAGCGGCGATAAGATTTTTTCCGTAAAATCCAGTGGCTGATTGCTCATTAGTTTACAGGGTTGCCGGTATGACTTTTATATATACAATTGTAATGAATTAACAAATCAAATCGTTTTTGAAAATAAAATAAATCGAAAATAAAATTCATTTAATGATTTCATTTATATTTGATTGGCGTCTTTATTCAAACCTTTTAATTTTGAAATTTGAAGTCATTAATTTAAATTCTACGACATGAAAGGAAGGTACGTCAGGTGACTGGTTGAGCTATTGTATCAATCTCTAGGAAAATTTGTAAAACTCTTTCAGCCAACTCATGGCTTGTAGAGCAAAAAAGCCTTTTTTTTTAGTATCTTTGGGGTTCTTATCACTTTATCGATCGTCTTGAGAGTAAGGCCGCTCTAGAGGTTGACAAATAAACTAATTTTTAAAAATCTATTGTACATATATTGAAGTATAAAATAACATTCTTTACTTATTTTTTCTTACAAAATGGCGGTGATAAAGTGCGTAATATGTATTAATTTTTTTGAAAGGCGTTCACGGGAGTACCGAATACTTTAAAGGATGAGAGCTAGAACAGAAAAGCAAGAAGTCTTTGGAAGTACTGATTTATTTTTGAACAAATTTTTGTGAAAGCGACACCCTCTTTTTCTTAAAATATTGATGTTTGACCAAAAAATACGCACTAAATTAATATCGAAAAACGGCTATGTACTTCAAGAAAAAAAAATGTATTTGCGAAGCTGTGAGTTTGAAAAAAGCGATTTTGAGAAAAACGCGTTTAAAGCTTTCATTGTGTTCAGTGCACGCTTTGAGGAGTAGCATCAAAGTAGATAGTTCAGCCATTTGAAGTACTTTTTCACTTTAAAACCAATTGCATATCAGTTCAAGGAGCAAAAAAACCAAAAAAAAAAAAAATTCCATAATCCAAGAGTGGCTTTACTCCTTAAGTATAACCACTCAGATCGACTGCACCTTCGATCGGTTACTCGGTTTCTATTGGTTATGTAAAGTTACTCTAATGGATCATGCGTAACCTTAGAGACACTCAACAGCGCGCACCGAACACGCTAATACCGCTTAGAAAGAGCAGAGTATCGAAGAAGAGTAGAATGAATCGGTATGCCATCGCTTGCAACAACTGTGCTCTCTGGGCAGGAGAATTCATTGATTCGTATTTCTTCAAAAAAAAAGAAGGAAAAGTCGATCGTTATGTACCAGTCAATGGGGAATGCTATAGAGTCATAATTAATGGTCCATTCGTGACTGAATTGATTAAAGAAAACTAGTAGCTTGTGTGCCTGTGACGAGATATCAAAGAGCTTGTAACTTGACACCGCCGGACTATTTTTTGTTGGTGGATGGTGATATGAAATCACTTGTTTCCGCAGTTAAAACACGAGCCGATTGACATCTTAGCAGTGATAATTCGGCGTGTTATTGCTACAAACGTTTCCAATTACGGCAAAAACTAGCTGAAAATTAGTACATTCGGTTGAAATTTTTTCGAGCCTGCTAAATTCTGAAAACTGCAATGTAATGGCTTAGAAACAATTTGATAGTTATGGAAATGATTTTGAATAAGTTAAGACTTAAGCGATCAACTGTTATAGAGAGTATTTTTTTTAACTCGATCACAAGCTGTTGAAATTATTTATCGTGTTCGAGTCTCCTTGTGAGTTCTATATGAGAGAAAATAACTTCTCGTTTTATGCAACTTCATTTGATGGGTAAGAAAAATTCTTCACACCGACTATGTTTAACTAAGGGCCATAGCTTATATGTAAAGCGTTGAGCGATTCTTGGCTTCCAAGAAGAACTACAAAAATCGGTTTCCAAATGCTAGGTAGAAGTTATTGGAAAAAAAGCTTAGTTTATGGTAGTTTCTGCAATGAAAATTTATTTTTCAGATTTCTTTTTTAACTTCTAAAATTCTTGAGAATTTAAGTCCGCTCCAAATTACGCTACTGTCAAAATAAAATTAGGTTAATTGTTAATTAAATATTTTTGCATAATTAAAGGAGATTACGACTGGCAATTAAAGTAAATGCATTTGAAGTGGTTGAACCCTCGAGCTAATTTTTATTGCAATTAAAATCGTCGAAATTAATTGCCCACTTGGTAAGCTTAAATGACACGTCGTAAATTCGCATAATCACCAACACTAAATATTTTCACATATAAACATACGCACACATATTTCGGCGTGTTTGTAAGTATGTGCTAGTATAACGGTAAATAAAGCTGCGACTAAAATGCCAATAAAAGAAGTGAATGTGACTCGAAACGCTTTCCGTCGGAATGTTTACGACAAAAGTCACGCGAAATTCACGCCAAAGTGCTGGTATTTTTATGGAGTTATGCCAAAATACCCACATAAATATGTACGGGTATATAACAAATACTAATATATAAAACAAAAAGGCAGACTACGACTACTAATAAAGGGTGCATATGTAGAGACTTTAGTTGTTCCTTTTTGGTTTTGGCTTCCAGTGAGCAAATATGTGGCCTAATTGCAGAATGGCACTATTGCGTTTAGTATGGAAATGAATGAATTAACGGTGTATATATATGTACGTTATACATAATGTTTGAGCATTAACTGTTGATTGTCGTGTAAATAACGATTATGTGTGGAGCTTATGGAGATAATGGAAGTTATGTGGAATTGCCAAATGAGTAGGCTTTAGAATTCTTTCATACACATATGCATATACAGGCATATAATGTGCGTGCAGAGTAGCATTTTTATGATGTGGAAATACTGCAGACATACACAGCCTACAAATGGGGTATCAGAAATTACACATTATTTATTCAAAAAAATCTGAAATTTTTCTGAAAACTAATTCGTTTTTCTGAAAGGTTTTTCGGTTAGTTTCTTCCATTAACTCTCAAATTCGCGTTAATTTTTTTAATCTTTTTGTATAGATATTTCATAATTTTTTGCTCGCGTTTCGGGTTCTGCTTCCTTACAGCCGTTACACTGCTTTTGCCATTATAGGTGAGTTCAGAATAGCGCGCCATTCTTTCCTTCTTTTCGCTGTTTTACGGTAAATTGGAAACTCCAAGTGCAGTTTGCTCCTTCTCTATCTCGTTTATACAACGAAGAAAAGATGTACATTTTCCTCTGCTTACACCAAAGGGTACTAAATCAATGCTGGAGTATTCTTATCCATCCGGACCACATGACTTAGGCAGCGCAGCCGCTGCTTCTTGATTCGCTGAACTATGTCAATGTCGCCGCATATCTCATACATAACTCGTCATTCTGGCTGAGGTACTCGACGTTGCCGATTTACATAGGACCATAAATCTTACACAAAATTATCTATTGAAAACTCCTAACTGCAACCAATCAGATATTTTGTTTGTACACCCCTCAGCACCTCATGTATGGCAGGACAACGAATAACTTGACGAGTTTGGCCTTTATTCGTCGAGGGAGGACTTTACTTCTCAACTGCCTACTCAGTCCAAAGAACGATCTTTTAGCAAGAGTGATTCTGTATTGGATTTGAACACTGACAATGTTGTTGATGTTAATAATGGTTCCAATATACAATAGAAGGAATTATATACATTCGTATTATTTACCACTAGATTAAAGAAGTCAAGCGATAGAAAATTCAGCTTGTTTGAAACATTGCTTGATAGCAAATATCTTGGAGAGGTCTAATGAGGGCAGTACTTTTGGTGTTGCTAGATGCCAGTTTTGGGAGCCGTATAATTTTTAAAAGGATACCAAATTTAGACGCGGCATAGAAGCAGCATCTTCTTGAGCTGTCCCCCAAATTCCGAACTTAGACCCTTGCTTTCAACAGTTGGACCATCTGGTTGCAGAAATCACACAGCGGCCGACAGGTAGATATCTGTGTTTCATCACGGCAATGCTAGATCACACACATCGATAGTGACGCGCCGGAAGCTCCGAGTGCTTGGTTGGGAGGTATTTATGTATCCACCTTATAGTTCGGACTTCGAATGATTTGGCAGGTGAAGAAAAGGCTTCAAGAGAAATATTAGGCGAACTGTGACAAGAGTTTCTATGAGAGAAGCATAATCACATTACCTTTAAATGGCAAACATTTAATTAAAAATGGATAATTTTTTAATGAACCTTGGAACAGATTTAGATGGACCTTTGCCTAGACTGAAACATAAGTGGATTTTGTTCTACAAAAGATTAGGATTTTTGTTTGATTTTTTTGAAATTTAGAATATAGATCAGAACTCAAACAATAGCCATCCAAATGACAGTACGAACTGCAAGTAACGTAAAAAATCTATTATAAATTTAGTCATAAACGTTTTCAAAATTCATGTGGTCGATGTTAAAATTCTAGAGCGATTCACAGTGGATTCAAAAGCCAAAAAACGTAGCTAAAAATCGAAAAAATTCCTAAATAATAAAAAATAACTTTATTCGGCATTTTTGAGGTCACTGGTTATGGTTTGAGGTTACTGGAAATGAAATACAAACAAATTTGAGTTTTTATGAAATTTATTATTCAGTATTCAATAATACAAATTATAAAATTATTGCTGCAGAAAGTGTCCATTTAAAAAAAATGTGAAAAGTTGGGGCAAATTTTA